CAGGCAGTGAAGGAGAATCCCAGCAGCTGCTTGAAGTGCACTGACTGGAGTGATGCACAGACAGAATGTGCCTGCCGGAGCCACAGCACAATTATATGTTACGTACTGTGGGCTGGTTTATTTAAAGTTTCCTGGGGCAAAAGCAAAAGCAGCACTGCTCCATCACCCTACCTCTTGTGTGACAAAGAACACAAGAAGAGGCTGTGACCTCTCCTCCCCTTGCAGGCTGCATTATGCTGCTGTATTCCAGATGCTTCACTCTGCTAGAGAAAGAAAGCACTTCTGATACAAGATGAGCAGAAACCTCTCCTCAGGAGTCAGACTCAGTACATGCAACACCTATGGAGTCAGTTCTGAGCAGCCAGGAGCACAAGGCTTCTAGAGAACTCCAGAAAGATGAGAGACAACTACAGTCTTGCAACAATCGGTTTAAACTGTCCCAGGTAACAGTGCCATCAGACTCTTACCTGACACAGTGTCTCTGGCTGCAGGGACAGAGACAGAACTCCTCTCCACCTCTCTTATCTACAGGAAACAACACAGTGGCTGATTCTTCCTGAACTCACACTTTATCTAGAAATCTTGTTCCACACACTTTCAAAGGCACTTCTGTGACTCTCCAGATATGCAGCACTGCCAAGGACATGCTGCCAACAGCTCGATGGCACAGCCTCGCCCTTGTGCAAGCTGTGTTTTGCCTGCAAAGTCAACTGCTCCAGCTAATGCTGAGGCACCAGCTGTGATCATTGGTAGCTCCTGTCTGCACACACAGGCAAGCTGCAATGCTTGCTGTTTACTGCCCAGGTGCTAGTCAGGTTTGAGAAGTCTAGCAATAAATCTGGATTAATCTAGAGGAACCATTTTCAGCCAGTAATGTAAGGCTTATGGAGGCAAAGAGAAAAAGTAAGCCAGATCAGGGCTAACTTGGTAGCCTGCTGGGCTAGCTGTGTGCAAAAGTAATAATCCATGGGCTCAGGTACAGCAACCATTTATGCACTGCGCACAAAGAATCCTTGGATAAAATGCACAAAAGTATTGGGCTCACTTCAGAAGGGGTCTCACCAATGCACAGCAAATGATCTCCCCTAAGAAGCTCAAGCCCTGGGATCTGGCTTAGGAGCCCCAAAAGGATGTGGGAGTGATGTGAAGCCCCCTGTGCAGGCAGGTGCCCTTAAGCACTGGAAACCATTTTATATAGCAAAAGTGGGACAGTTTTAGTGGTGATCTGAAGCAGCCCAAAACCTTACACAATTTCTCCTGTAGAGAGTGATGCATGAAAGACTGCACACAAAATGAGAGGCTGGTACCCAGCCCAGCTTGCAAATGTCACCATTAGTCACTGGAATAAGGATGCTGCAGTACCAATGTGACTAGCAAATATCAAACAGGTAAAGTGAAGTGACTGGCGGTCTCCTGGCTTTGTGGCTGGAAGTGCTATTGATTCCCAGCTGTGGCATACAATGCCCAGGCAGATTTCCGCACAGAGGTCTCACACGCAAGCATGCACAGATTTTCTCAGAAGTCTCTCTATGCCAGAAAAGCAACAGCACTATTTCACAGATTCAGCTGTTAAGAGACAAATGTTACTAAAATTTGGGTTTCTTCTTTAAGAGAAACATGAAGGAAAAAGTGCTCTATCAAGACAGAGTAAAAGCTGTTAGTGTGGATAACCAGAGGAGTCATGTTCATTTTCAGCGGGCACTTTTCCATGCTGTCCAGGTATTGCTGCATTGCACAATTTCAGGAAAACAATGTCTGAGACTAAGGAAACCACAGATCTGCTTCCACTGCCACCCAAAACCAGGGGTCTCACCCCACAGCCCCAAAACTGTTGCTTTAAGTGTTGTCAGACAGAACAATTATCCACATAAGGTTTCAGGGACTCAATGTTACTACTTCCTTAAGTTGATGGTGTGCAGAGGGTTTTTGGGACTATACTAAGGAAGGAATATAATCAGGAGGAAAATACCCTACACATGCGAAATATGGGGGTGTGCTCAGCCTAAGCAGGATCTTGCAAAGGCTAAACAAAGCTTTGGCTGTTGATGTGCTGGAACAGTGGTAGAAGGCCCAGGCTGAATTACAAATCATGTCATTTCTAAACCTGAATATCCAGCACAGTCCCATCATGTCCCCAAAACCACCAGATAATTGTTCCAAACAACTGCACTTCATGGGCTGAACGGATCATGGCTTCTCTTTACTATAGGACCAGTCTGGCAGGTAAAGGTCTGCCAGTAGAGGTTTTGAAGGTGGACTTGCTAGCAGAGCCCCAGCCCAGCCTGTCAAACCACAAGCAAGAAAAGGAGTAAACTACAGGTGCATAACAGTTTTAATATGCTAGGCTGGGTGGGAGACTGAAGAGATCTTCTCACATACACTTACATGGTTGCTCTCTCTGTCTATGTATCATTCATATCTATCACTGGACTCTTCTCTTCCTCATTCTCTGAAGAAAAGAACCATCACGGGTGCGAAACACAGGCAGAAATAAACACATGAAATCAATTAGAATCAAACACTTTCTATAGGTGCTTTACAATCAGTCCTTGACAGCAACTGTATATTACTGATGCAAAAATACTCCTTCAACAGCTGCAGCATTAAAGCAACTGCTCTCAGTTGGTGAGCGTGAGTGTTTTAGGGCCCTAGCTGGTCACCATAACTTCTTGGATACTCCTCTTTGCACTGGATTTTTCTTATTGCTTAAGAATCTAATCCCCAAATGTTGCCAGTTTGAAAATTAAACTGCTTCACTTTTTCAGTTGCCAGCAAGATTTACTCAGAAATAATCCAAAATTATCTACTTTCCCCAGTGCAATTTGGAAAGTCAATTGCCTGTATTCTCAGGCCTTCAACAGAGCAGCAGGAAGAAGGGAAGTGTGAAGAACAGACACGCTTAAACCTCAAATCCAAGAAGTTACAAGCAATTGAAATATCACTCCTGATCATGCTGGAGAAGCTTCTGTTAAGAGTGGGACTAGCTTTAACACATGCCCAAAGCTCTGCCGCGATACCACAGTGCATACGCATGCTGGGTCTCAAGCTGGATATGCTGGGTCTCGAGCTGGGCCTGGGACACTGATGGAGTCTGCTTCGCCATGCTGTCTTTCAGAAGATTCAAACAAGACTTCTCCAGAGGCTGACATGCATCCTTTGCCCTTTTGCATACCCCCACTCCCTCCACCCCAAACTACAGCAGCAAAGGTGCTTTTGTTTGTGTTGGATGCACCAACAACAGTTTCCCAAGCAAGTTCCTTAACTCTATGGAGTGAGGATGTCACCGGGGTTTGAAAAGCCCCAGGTATAGCTGTGTGAGAGAGTTTGGTACAGCTCAGGGATGGCCTTCAGAATATGTATGTTTTGCAGGAGATGGTTTTCCTTCTGCCTTAGCCAGGAGGTGTTCTGCCCAGAGGTAGGGATGCTGCAATTGCTGTGCCAGAATCAAAACCTCAGTGAGGTCAGGTTCTGTCTCTCCTCAGTAATCACTAAGCAGATTCATAAATGTAGTTAAGTAACACAAATTTGGTTATGAGCAGGGAAAATGTGCTGCTTTTAAAAGGAGACAAGCAAGCCATTCCTATCTGGAAGCTGTTCAGATGGATCTGGATTGTGCAGAACAAGCAGGACAGCACATACTTAAAGAAGCTTAAGCCAGAATCACCTAGGAGAGGCCTCCTGGTGAAGCAGGGAAGCAGCAGGACAGGAGGCAGTCTGTCACTACACAGAAGCAGCCAACCAAAAGTCATGCTTACATAGTGTGGATTCCCACTGAAGTAAAATTGGTTTAATCCTCACCAACTGAATTTTCCAAGACCCCACACTTCAAACTCTGAAGAATAGCAGCTCATGGGTCAGCCAACTACCAAAATTACCTGACCTAAGGCAACATCTTCCTGCTCTACAGACCCAGAGTTAGAGCCAATGCAAGGGGAAGCTCTGTTGGATCTCTGGCAGAGAGAAGCAGAGACAAATGGAAAGATCTGAAAGGCAGGCAAGCCCAAAACATCTATTTTATGTGGGTTGGGTTTACCACATTTGAAAGGCATTTCTGTTAAAAAAAGGTGTCATGAACAATAGGAGAACAGCACGTAGGGATATCTGAGCCAAAGTGCTGCATCCAAAGGAACAGTCACCCACTGCTAAACCTAGCACCAGTGGAAAGCAGAGAGAAAAGTGGAGCAGCAGCAAGCTGAGGGCAGTGAGCAGGATTAGCTCGAGCTGCCGTCTCAGCACCAGAACAGACAGGACCTTGATACCTTGGAAGGCCCGTGACAAAGCCTGGGACATGGCAGGTCAACTGGTGTCGCAGTTTGTTCCCCAGCAAAACAGAAGAGATAAGAAAGGGATGCAAATAAGAATCCTAGAAATAACGGCAGATTTGTTGCATATGTTACCCTGTTTATCAGCCAATTTCCTGGTTCTTACTTGCCCTTAATAAAAGGCTATTAACTAAGCAAATGGCAGATCAGCTATCTGAGCCCTGAAGGTTACCTGAATTTCCCCACGGTTTCTGGGAGGACAAAGGCTGGGGCTGGCATGTGAAACAGGTCCTTCTCCCTGCTGGCTGATACCAGAGAGAAGGGTTAGAGCTGTAATAAGCTACAATATGAATTAAACCCTTTTTCATTTTACTGGTTTAGGTATCTTTTGGCACCCTCTATTCCAATAGATGAGTAATTTGGGAAGAGTGAATAATTTTGAGTGAGAAATTGGAGAAGGAAACACACTCTGAATGCTTGTTTTCACCCTGGGAAAGGGAGACTTGCATAACCTTAGGGCTCTTAAACCCTGGTAGTAACAGCTTGTTAACCTTTGAGTCCCCACCATGGACTTAGGCACTAAGAGGAAAGAGAATGAGTATCCTAAACAGGTAAGCACAAGGGACCCAGTCTGAATTTGGAAGATGATCCAGCAAGCTACCCACAGACCTTATTTCTGAGTCAGGCCTGCTCTTTGCAAGAAGGCATCAAGGCTGTATTGCAGACCCTGTACTCACAAAGCTTGAAATGCCTGGAAGCAAAAGATGGGGCTGCAGCTGAAGGCTAAAGGAGATCAGGCAGCATCTGAAGACAGAAATGGGAGGTGGGCACAGAGAAAAGGAAGAGCTGAGCATGAAAAATAGGACAAGGAATGCTGCAGAAAGCAGGAAAGCTAGGGAGGCACAAGTGGAAAGTTCAGCAAAGGAGGATACAGGCCCACATGCTTACTGAAGGACTGGTTCAAAGCCAAACTGGACCTGCTCTTATACACGTTGGTGGATCTGTCACTACTTGATGGTGCCAAAAACCTTCTAAGAAGAACTGAAGGTGAAGTACATATGAGCTGGGACCAAGCTGAGTCCCTCCCTGCCTTCCACTCTCTAGAATGACACAAAATATGAGGTCCAGGAGTAACTGGGGAGGTGCTACACCAAGTGAGGTCTGAATCCAGCAGATGACCCAAATTTCCCACTTAAGCATTTGTTTCAAGAGCATCAGCAGCATAATACAAGGGGTTAGCTCAACCATTGCATTCTCTGCATCTGTGGGATGCTTTCAGAGCCTGAGGATCCATCTCACAGATCTGTTTGGGAAACTCCCCAGTGTGTTTTGAATTTATCTGGAAGCACCTTGGACTGGATTAAGACATATCTAACTCAGAATGGGTGGAAGAGCATTGGTGTTTGGGTGTTGGGAACTCCACAACTCCTTGCCTTGGGTATGAGCAAGTCTGAGAAATGTCACATGTCTGGGAAGCTACCTGAACTGCTTTGTTTGCAGCAGGATTTCACCACTGACGCTTCTGTGGATCTAAAGTATTTGCTGGTGGGCTTTGGGATGCTCTTTCCTCGCCTGACCACAGTGAGACTGAGGCACCATGTTGTTGCAGGAAGAGCTCCTAGCACTCCTAAACCTCTGAGCATTTTCCATGGGATGAACTAAGCTGCATGCACTAGTTTAAATGATTCCATCAGAAGCTGCATGCTGTGCAATGCCCATCTCCAGCCACATCACAGTTGGATGTCTGTATGATGCAGAGTCACACAGTCTTACCTGGCTCTCAGCACTCAGTGGAAAAGCTTCTTTATCTTTTGAATGCAGCTCCTCAGCCATGCCTCCATCCGAAGGTTCAGCTTCCAAGAAGTTAGATGGGACAAGTCCTCTCTGTTGGTTCAGCTCTCCCTGCAAGATCAACATTCAGTTCTCACACCAGCATTCCTGGCTAATGGGGAAATAAGAAACTGAGGAGCAGTCCCTTGCAGGGAAGACCAGGCTGTTGGTCTGAGAGAAGCCTGGGAACACACTCGTGCTGGAAGGATCCTCAGCAAATTCCACGACTCACATTCTTGCTTAGTTGCTCAGTGAAACAATTCAGAGCGCAGAAACACAGAAGGGAGTAAAGGAAGAAAAGATGGCAGATGCCATGACAAAGGTATTCCAGCAATATGGTCACTTCTACAAATTCAGATCACTTCCACTGCTATTCTGGAAGCAACTGAAATATGACAGTGCCACAGGCTTTCCAAAGGCCTTTGATTTAGTCTGGTATTGCTTTATTTTGTAAAGAATGAGGTTCTACTGGTACAATGTCCTGCAGACATGGCCTCAATGACACTGAGGTGCAGAGCTGCAAACCAAACTTGGCTGTATGCCTAGAGAATTGTCTCCAGTTCAGCAGGTGTTTGAGTGAGACAAAACCAAACCCAGCAATGGTGTTTGGCCAACACTATGAAAGAAGGCAAACAAAGCATTCACAGTGATCCCCTCCAGACTCTCCCTGGAGCTGAACCTCAACTTTGATGTGTGAAGACACGCTGCTTCCTATGCAGGGATCCAAGGGCCAAGGATCATGTGCAGCACACAGCCTGTTGGCAGGCACAGCCTAGATATGCATGCACAGCACATGAAACAAGTAGCAGTGCTTGTGGAGGTATGCTTAGATGGGGGTCACTGTGCATCTGTATTTTCATGTTATCACTGTAGCTCCTGCCCTGGATGAGAGCATGTGTCTGAGTGCTGGGTGACAAATCAGCTTACAGCAGATACTGATGCAGCTGATACAGGTACAGAACAATGCACCCTAGGCTTTGAGAAATATGCAGTCAAGTTATCCCAAGAAATAAATTCAAATCCATCTGGATATTGTGGTTACAGGAACATGGACTGCCAGAAACACCCTGCCCTGCAATAAGCAGCTATGGGCTTGGGTTTTTTTGCAGTATTTTGTTCCCTCATTTCTGCTCTCCTGCCACTAGATGGACTCCAACGACTTCAGATGTAGCCACTGGCCCTTCCCAACCCCTGTACTCACATAATAGAATCCATCATCATCCATGGACCCAAACACAGTGATAATGTCCCCAGCACTGAAAGTCAGTTCAGCCTGCAAAGACCAAGAGAACAATGGTCACAGGAGAAGCACTACCTGCAACGTCTGGCCTGAAACACCAGGTCACCCTGGGCTTCTTGCACAAGTTTACCCTGCAGGAGGGAGGCTGCTGTATTAAGACTTGCAGTACCAGGATGAGGAGGGGCAACTGAGGTGGGTAACTGTGGACCTCAGTGCTAAGGAAGCATTTCATAAATTCAGACAAGAGCAAAGCCTGTTTCTTAAACCAGTTTTAATAAGGCTTCAAAATAGTGCCTACAACCTGTTCTGGAAAGATATGTTGAGACAAGCTGAACAAGCACCAGAAACACCTTGCATTTCTTCAAAGGTAACTACTAAATCCTGCTCCTTTGCATGAGCCTGGTCTGTATGCAATGCTCAGAGATTAGTCACTACCAGGAATGCATAAAAATGGGAAGATCTGACCTAGAGACAGACTATAACCACACAACACACGTCACCCTCCATCCCATCCTCCTGTCAGCCACCCCAGCAGGCACTCCCGGGAGCACAAGACCAAACACAAAGGTCGAAGCAGTCTCTACCAACAGAAGAAACTGCCCAGTTACAGCAAAAAAGCTGCTCTAAGAGAAGATGGAGTCTTCAAACAGGCTGTGTCCCACTCAAGACACACTGGCTTTATATGCACTTCACAGAAGTGTTAGTTGGAAGAGATCCACCTCTAATACATTTACCTTATGATATCCCTAGTACTCAGTTTACCTCTGGAGGCTGCAGGTTCCACATGCTGGCTGTGAATTACTTTGCTGCAGCAGAAAGACACTTCGAGGGAACTTCACTCACAGACACACAGAAGGGCACAGCTGATCCTACTCTGTCCTGGTGCAAGTTCGTAAGGGCAACTGCAGGCTTCTAGCAGAACAGGTGACCAGATTTCCTGGGAGTGTGCACAGGGAGCACCTCCAACAGTACAACAGAACTGGACCAGCTTGTTTCAATAATGTGAGCTCTGCCCATATGGCAGGTTCTAGGAAAACTAAATTACTGCAAAAAATACAGCCATACAGCCATCTTCTTGTTGACATGAGCTCAAAAGAATTCTTTGGCTAATGCATGCTCTCACTGCATTATTCTAAGATAATCCTCCATCCTTAAAACACTCTGTCCTCAGCAGCAGCCTGTCTTGCTCATGAGTCACCTCTTGGCCATAAACTCCTCTTCGATGCATAGAAACAATCTGAATCCAAACCCCATGTTTATGTTTGCTCAGAGTAGACTAACACTGCTACGGAGAAAAGAGAACAGAGCATGTTCTAACTCAGAAAGGTTATTCTGCAGAAAGGATTCAGCACTGCTATATTTCTACCTCAGACTTATCTACAAAAACAGTCTGGATTCTGTGTAGGGACTGCTTGAAAAGCAAAATCTTAGAACACTGGTCCATTAAATTGGAGCTAAGTCTTCTTGCTTGAACAAAGACCTACACAGGTATTCAACACAAAAGACATGCTCCAAGACACGCTCAGCTGAAGTATCGGAAGTCCATTCAAATTGTTAAGCAGCTTTGCCCTTTTGCCAGAGTGTGCCCTCGATCAGCTGCTAACAGCAGGGCTGCTTCCTCCTGCCACAGATCTGCTTAGTCCCATCTAATCATTAGGGGATGCTACAAGGCCATGAGACACTCACAGAGTTTCACTGAGACATATCCTGAAAAATCACTAGGGGTATATTGCATCATGTTCTTCACAGATAACTGAACATGGGTATCAGAAAATGTGTGAGAACATATCAGCAAACTCTACATTTTATGACTTTAGCCAACACCTTTTTAGCAGCAAGATTGCCAAGCTACAATGAGCACTTTGGTCAAAACAGAGACAAATGTCTCGGGACAGAAGGAAAAAAGAAAGAGGAAAAAGAAACCCGTGAAAGGAGTGAGCAGCTGGTGCCTACCTCCACATCTGCATTTGGAGAGCTCTCCTTAGGGTTATAGTCGAAGACAGCCACCATACGACGAGAAGTAAGCAGTTCAGCCTCACAGTCTTTATGCTTCTGTCCTGCAGGACAAACATAAAATGCAGTATCCTCAGCTGGAAGTTCTAGGACAAAATCCCAAATCACAGCAACTCCTTCAACATTCCTGGAGTGGACTGAGTAAAAAGAATACCAGGGGCAACTGAATGGGTGAGAGATCTTAGAGGCCATAGAGACATTTAGTACAATAGTCTTCTGATCTCCTGTATAAGCACAAAGTGGGAACATCTCCACATTCCAGCATCCTGGTGTCCTGCTATATATACATGAATGTATTATTCTATATTTGCTGATATATACACACAAATATGTGTATATATATGTACACACACAGGACAGCAGCCTCCTTACAGGGTCTTGAATGGACATTTCTCCTCCCTGCACACAATGACCTGCTACTGAGCTACAAAATTCATCCTCCAAGTGCCAGGGGAACAGCAAGAGCCCTGGAGAGCATCAGCCACAGCAGCAGAGCCCAGCATGAAGGGAAGCAGATGCCTCACCATCCAGGGAACATATTGCTCTTTCAAAGCAACCCACTTGCTCAGCCAGGACTTAAGAGACCTCCTCTGGATCTACAAAAGCAAAGCCTGGTGTTACAGTTAACACACACTGTCCATTCCTTATGTCCCTGCTTC